AAAACATGAGCTATAACTATAAAAACTTGTCATAAAAAAAGGCTTAAACAAACTGTTTATTATTTGAACTTTATTTTAAGTCTGCAACACTTTGATTTCGCGTGCACTTACCTAACTTCTAGCAGTTAGAAATGAATTCTCACTCATTTAGTTTGTTTTTAAGTGCTAAAGTTGCCAAATGTTTAAATTCTCTAGATAAAACTTAGTTTTCTGTGCTGTCAGCTACTTAGTTTCAGCATTTATCGATTCATTTTGAGTATTTACCTAACTAATTGTTATCTTAGTTTTCAATGTTGCCAGTTAGTTACACTTATCGATAAATCATATATCATATTTCCAGGGTTGCCAGTTAGTTACACACTTGTCGATATCGATCATATTTCATGTTTTCATATTTGATTTCGATCTTGCTTAGATCTACATTTATATTTTATTTAAGTTGGATCTGGTATTATTAATTATCTGAATTAACTATGATCAAAAGCTTCGGCATATACCATCACAGTATTGTATTTGGTCTAATATTATCGATATATTTGTTATATTATCGATAAGTCTGAAGTTTATAACTTTGTTGTAATAGCTGATGTCGTTGTTCTGTAGTTACCAGATCAAGAATTTTGTTGTTGCTGCATTTTTAAATCCGGCAAGCGTTACCAGATGCACAACTTTTCAACAAATATTGTATATTATCAGAGACATCAGCTTATAAGTTTTTATTCGTTAGTATTTAAGCTTTTGCTGTTCTGGAATTTGCGGAGTGTATATTCCAAACTATTTGCATTAAATTAAATTGCTTTTCACAATACAAACTGTACAAATAATGCTTTATTTACGCTTGCACTGCTCTTTAACCGAAATCTCTTTGCACAGCGTTGCACCTGGTTTTCCGGACACACGCACCTGTCTGCTACACCAGAAGCTGCAGATGCTCAACGTTTGCGTGGAGCGTCGCTTGCAGCGCGAGCGCAAACAACAACAGCAGCAGCCGAAGGTTGTGGAGGAGCAGCTGTTAACGGATGAGGATGAGGAGGATGATGGCGAATTTTATGACTGCGACGAGCCAACTTCCGCAAGCGGCTCACCAACCAAAGCGGTGCTCAGCCTCAAGCCCGAGGGTCGCTTGAAGCGTTTGGGCCAAGAGCGTTTGCTAGACGAACCCGAAGAGTTTCTGTATATACCCGAAACCCAGGAGCCGGTGCCCAAGACAGAAGATCAGCTGCAGGACGACGCGGAGGTAATGTTAAAACTGGGACCCGGTTCGGGTTTGAGCACACAAATGATGTGCACATCGCTTTTGTCCGATATGGAGGCATTCAAGGCGGCCAATCCACGCGGCAAAATGGAGGACTTTATACGCTGGTATAGCCCCAAGGACTGGGAGCAGCTACAGAATGGTAAGGGAATGAAGTTGGCGACGCGTTTGCAAAGATAATACATCATTTTGTTTTATTTTATTTGCGTTCCAGAAAGTGGCGAGACTGTGCATCAGTTGAGCGTGCGCATGACCACCGAGGGCAATACCTGGCAAAAGGTGTGGCAACAGGCACAGCCGACTCCAGTTGCCAGACAGCGACGCCTCTTCGATGACACCAATGAGGCGTTAAAGGTGTTACACTATCTGGAAACGCGTAATATGAGCGAGATCTATGGACTGACTATTATACCCACGCTACACACGGCCATACTGAAGTTAATTGTAAGTTGTCATAGACGTAAGCTGAACCTAAATATACTTTTGTAATATACCAAAGCCTTTCAAAAAGATTTGATACCCAAATTCGACATGTTGTCGAAGTCGGAGTTGTCTTCTTTAACAAAAGTCATTTTATTATATTACATTAACTTATAACATTTTTATTTTAGCACATTTGTTAGTTTTACTATATTTAATTTTAATTTTCACACAATTCATATATTATTTCTACTCCCACAGGACATCTACAGCAATGCCCACGTGGAGGATCTGTTTAGCAGCCACATCGAACAGCTTTTAAATGATTTGTGTCGCGTCTCGCGCGCCCACACGAATGAGCTGCCCAATGTTAGGATTCTGCTCGACGATCTGGCCGAGCTGGAGCGTCGTTTCTATCAGTTCAAGTGCTTTGAACGACTCGCTGGCTATCCGAAGCGCAGCTCGTTGGCTGAGATCAAGCGACAGTTTGAGGAAATACTCAAGAATGAGAATAGCTGCACAATTGTGAATAAGAAGCGCGGCGCTGCGGGCGATGTTCTGTGCAGCAGCAGCAGCTTGTATGATATATTGAGTCCTAAACTGGAAGAGGATATATCCAATCGGTTGATCAGCAAAGATTATGTTATACGTCTGGATGGTGATACGAAATCAACCGAAAAGGGTCTCTATCTGGGGCCACAGTTTATGCGAGCGATTGTTACGGGCGACAAGCTAAGACTCTGTGGCGCCTTCACGGAGAGCACAACCTTTGTTTAGAGCTAAGAGTTTTTATTAAAACTAATTCTTCAACCGTTCCAATTTGCTAGCGTACGTTGCATATTATATAATCCAGTTGATTTGATACCATTTGAAAGGATTACTAAAGTCATAAGGTTTATTTTCTAAATACGGATTGTGCGGAGCAGAAATTTCGATGGCGTCGGTTTCGAAATTTCAAATTTTTTATCTTAAATTTAATAAATGTCGGGTAAATCTGGTCCGATTACTGAGTGATATACCTCTTTCTACTCGTACGGATCCCGACTATCGATTGCCAGCCAAAAATCCACATTCTAAGAGATGACCCAAATCGGTCAAAAATGCAGTGGTTACATCACGTTTTTTTGCAAAAATGACTTTTTTCCGAAATCAAAAAACTTTGATGCCAATCAATTCTATGGACCTCCGCGAGTTCAACGCACCCAATTTGCCCGAGATCGGGCTTTATTTGACCGAGAAATGGCCATTTAAAGTTTTCGAAAAATTTCGAATTGCAATATCTCGGGAAAATACAGTCCGATTTCGGAGTGAAATACCTCTTTCTATTTGTACGGATCCCGACTATCGATTACCATAGCCATAATTTTTGTCAGATAAATGTAATTTCGCTTATTTATTTGTTTTATTATAATTGATATTTATCTTTTCAGATTAAAGAATTCAAAATTCCAACTGATTCTGTAGACTTCCACGAGTCCTTTAAGGCGTATGTTTCCAGAATAAGATTCAATTTCCCGGGAGAAAATCATTTTAGGTTTAAGCAAACATGATATCCGCAAAAAAACACAATTTATAACCATTTTAAGCTTGATATGTATATGTATAATTTTAAGAGATATTAATTGATATATATGTTCATGAACATTAAATAAACAACAGCTATGTTTAATGCTTTTAGAGAAACAAATAATTTATGTTAAAAAAAAGCAATCTTCTGTTACTTTATTTAAAATTGCTATTTTATTGGTAATTTATATTGAAAAAATCAGGTTCGACGATTGCCGCTGGTCTGACCTGGCCGCTGAATCCCGAAATTTTGATAAAAATTCAGCTAAAGTACCAGGCGAACAGAAATGCCCAGCAAGTAGACAAAAATAAAAAAAATGCATTGCATACACGCAAGGGGCGCCGTTTGGCGGCCGCTGGCTGGCCAGATTTCGGACCAAACTCAGCTGAAATACCAGGCGAACAGAAATGCACAGAAGATAGTCATAAAATTCTGGAAATATACAATTTCATTGCATAAGCGCAAGGGCGCCGGTTGGCGGCCGCTGGCTGGCCAGATTTGGGTCCAAACTCAGCTGAAATACCAGGCGAACAGAAATGCACAGAAGGTAGTCATAAAATTCTGGGAATAAACAATTTCATTGCATAAGCGCAAGGGGCGCCGGTTGGCGGCCGCTGGCTGGCCAGATTTCGGACCAAACTCTGCTGAAATACCAGGCGAACAGAAATGCACAGAAGGTAGTCATAAAATTCTGGGAATAAACAATTTCATTGCATAAGCGCAAGGGGCGCCGGTTGGCGGCCGCTGGCTGGCCAGATTTGGGACCAAACTCAGCTGAAATACCAGGCGAACAGAAATGCCCAGCAAGCAGACGAAATTTCTGTGAATAAAAAATTCATTGCATAAGCGCAAGGGTCAGAAATGTTAATCGTAACAGTCGGCTGTTAAGGAGCAGCCGTGGCCTCTGTAAAAGGGGTGCTGTACAGACGGCTGTAAAGGGGCATTTAAAGAGGCTGCTGAAAGAAAAAACATGCATATTTTTGGACTATTTCAATGCGAATTTCGCAGAGATGTGGTCCTTTAGGTTCACTAGGACTATATCTATGGTATGGTAGAACCAAGGATATGTGGGTCGACTAGGTACCATCGAGGGGCGTTGCTGCTGCTGGGGGCAGCTGAAAAAACGCATGCATAAAGTATTCATATTCTTTTATGTGTGCATTTCACAGCGATTAGGACCTTTTAGGTTCACCAGGACTCAATCTATGGTATGGTAGAACCAAGGATATATGTGTCAACTAGGAACCATTAGAGACGAGGGAGGGGCTGCTGCTGCGGGCGGCTGAAAGCAAAAGCATATATGTTTCTCTGTGCATTATGCAAGTATTCTGTTATTTGGGTTCTTAAGGACTATATCTATGATATGTTATAATCAAGGGTATAGAGGTAAGCTAGATACCATTGCTTTCGATTATTTGTATGTTCGCAGGCGTGATAGAAGAACAAAACCAAGCTTGCTGCTTGGCATTAATAGCTCTGATCTCCTGATGAACTTGTTAGATATAGTGCTTGCTAAGTGTTGTCCAGCTTTTCTTTTAACCAGCTTTCCAAGCTCACACCTTTGCTGAAATATCTTAGCTTTTGCTATTATATGGCATATTAGACTCGTGTGGATCAGGATAAATGTGGCAAACCTCCAAACTTTTTGATTGCCTCTACGAGTCCAAAACGCCACATCTTTCCCAGATCGGAATTTATTGTCACGAAATATGAATTGGCTAAAAATGTTTAAATTTTATTCTTTGTTTATATGTTAATTGTTTAAATGTTTGTCGTCGGTCAATCCGACACTTAAACACTAAAACTACGCAGGCTTTCGATACAATGTAGGATACTTAGGCTGTATTTATATTTATATACGAAAGCCAATTAATATGGCTTTACTTTATTGGTGGTAAGTAAACATTTGGCTTTCTATAACAAATGCTCTTTTGCTTTGGAACCGCAACTGTTTCCTGTTATCAATATCAATTATAACAAGACAACATTTACACTTGTGTCGACTGCGCGCTGCCATACAGCCAACCACATCTCATCACATAATCATTTCCCCTTCCCAAGCCACTCAACACACGACTGTAGCACTTTAAGCCATTTGCAGGCAAGCATTTTAGCCAAGCGGCAAAAACTTCACTCGAATGACAGCCAACAAGGCATCTAGTTGAATTCAACAGCGCAACTTCAGACATGAAAATTGCCTACATACCGAGGCGGTAAACACAAGTCTGTGCCCAAAGGCGACTCCTTCAAATGCCCATCCCAAGTGGAAACTAACTCTCGTTATGTGGGCCATGTTTAACTGAAATTATTTTAAGCGCAGTCCGTTGCCATAGCCAAAGCAACATTTTTGCCTCATGGCCAACACATAAAACATTTCTTCTCTTACCAGTATTTCTTTCCATTTATTTTTTTCTGTTTTTGTTTTTTGCGCCTTTTGCTGGTACTCGTAAATATTCCGCCACTAAATTACCTACGGGCTATAATTGTTTTGTGTACATGTCGAGAGTCGGAGTCGGCGTCGGCGTCGGTGCCGGTGTCGAGGGTCTTCGACAACAACAAAATGTGCAGCCGTGCAAATATGTTCCCCTTACCTCAGGCCACACTTGGCCTTACCAAAATATGCAAAAGTGTATAAATAGTAATTCGTTGGAGCATTTTGTATTTATAGCAAACGAGCCGCAATATTCATAATAATCCTTTAAAATATATTAGACTGTGCGTCATTTCTGATTTTCTGGAATATCTGGGCCAAATAATGTCCGATTTAGGAATTTTATACCATTTTGGACTCGTAAGGATCAGTACTATCGATTGGCATCAAAAAATACAAATCTTTATTTTGACCAAAATTGGCAAAATTGCAAGGGGTTACATCACGTTTTCTCTAAAAATCGGATTCGGTTCGAAAATCAAAACTTTTTTGATGATTTTTTTCGAATATCTCGGGTAAATACCGTCTGATATTGAAATGTTATACCTTTTTGAATTCGTACGGATCCCTACTACCAATTTGCATTCAAAAATCGATGAGTTAAAAAAAGTGGTTGACCAAAAACCGATTTGTATGTAAAGTCAACCTTTTTGATGATTTTTTGGAATATCTGGGCCAAATAATGTCCGATTTGGGAATTTTATACCATTTTGGACTCGTAAGGATCAGTACTATCGATTGGCATCAAAAAAAATAAAAATCTATATTTTGACCACAATTGGCAAAATGGCAAGGGGTTACATCTCGTTTTCTCTAAAAATCGGGGTCGGTTCGAAAATCAAAACGTTTTTGATGATTTTTTCCGAATATCTCGGTTAAATATTGTCCGATTTTGAAATGTTATACCTTTTTGAATTCGTACGGATCCCTACTACCAATTTGCATTCAAAAATCGATGGGTTAAAAAAAGTGGTTGACCAAAAGCCGATTTGTATGTAAAGTCAACCTTTTTGATGATTTTTTGGAATATCTGGGCCAAATAATGTCCGATTTGGGAATTTTATACCATTTTGGAATCGTAAGGTTTATAAACCTAAAAAGTATAGATTTTCTTCAAGATGTTTTGATTAAACTGACGCGTGTAACGCCAGCTTTTAAATAATTGTTTATGCTTGGGAAAATAAGAGCTTTTCCTTAGTTTAGTCAAGAGCTTCTCATACTGTTATATTAGCGTTAGCTTGAACCATTGTTTAATCATGAGGGGGAATGTTTTTTTAATATCAGTTTTACGCTACTGAAACACTTAGTAAAACTTTTGCTTAGGTGTTAATATTAATAATATATATAATTAATTAAAAAAACATAATAGCCACTTTATTACAGTTAATGAAAAAAGAGCTTTAGAGCTTTAAGTGACATTTATTTATTTAGCTGTGTACAAATCAGCCTAACTCTGAGAGCTTAACTCATTTTATTGATATTTTTGAAAATCTTTAAGCGCATGAAGTGGATACCTGAGAGCTGAGAGCTTTATACCGCTCGCAATCCAAAGCTTTCAGCAAGTGTCATTAGATAAAATGTGCTATTTGAATCGCTTGCATTTTAAATGCGCTACGAACTTTTCACACCAATTGTACCACAACAGAGTTGTGTCTGGCAATAAATATGCTTTTCATAAATGGAAATCAAGTCGGTAAATCAAAAAAAGTTTCTTTCTCAAATCAAAAATAAATATGATATGACAGACAGTAAAAACTATTCATGGTAATTGAGGTATTTTTCAATAATATGGTATAAAATTAATTAAATTCTCACAATCAATTTGGCATGAAATGGTCGCTGAATGGAGAAGTTCAATTCCAATTGATTTGCTGCTGGTTTTGTGGTACCTATGCACACAAACACACACACGCACGCAGGGTGTTGTGTGTGGTTGTGTGTGTGTGGTGTGCGGCCAGTGTTACAATTTTGCTGATGCAGTTGAATTTTAATGAAAACGCTTTTCCTTTTTTTCGCACGGAAAATTGAATTATAGCAGACATAGCAGACGGAGCGAGAGTGAGAGAGAGAGAGCGAGCCAGTAGGTTAGAGTGAGAGGCGAGATTTGTTGAGATTTTCAATTTCTATTGAACTCCGGCTATTGCCTGTGGTTGCACATTGAAAAGTAGCTGTGAATAAATATGAATGAAATATTTTTTCTCTATGGTCTAGTCTTGAAGAACATTTTTTTCGTTCTATTTTTATTTGTTATATGGAATTGAGTTGGGGGATTTTCGCTTTCATGCACATGAATTATTCAGCGATGGCAATCATAACGAATATATGCAGCGCTCTCTCAGAGATCTAATTGCATGAAATGGAGAGTTCTGCGGCTTTTAGACCAAGTCATAAAAATAGTTCCAGCTTCTTGTTTTTTTTTTTTTGTTTTCTTCAGTTAACTTAACAATGGCGCATAAAAAATAACTGTGGGAAGCGCGCAGCAAATATAGCTGCACAAATTTGCATACTCATCATAAAAGGCGAGCAGAGAAAGAAAAAAAAAACTGAACTTAACTGAACTGAACCGAGATTATAAGTTTCTCAACTCAATAATTAAAAGTAAACCCAACAAAAGAGCTGTTAAAAAATGAAAAGCAACTCAAATTAAGATTAAAACGTGCCAAAGAGCGCCAACAACAAATTGCGCACTTTTTATTTTATGAGGGAGTTGAGGTTAGGTGCGTCAAATTGAGTGTTGTAAAGTTGTTTTTTTCTTTAGAGGTGTAACACGTTGTCTGATTAGGCTTGTCATCGGCAGCTGCCTTAAAACCAATCTTAAGCAGCTTATTATAAATTTGCTGTCTGCATAAATAAACACTCGACGCTGGTGTCTGTCTGTGTGTGTGTGTGTGTGTAAGTTACGAGCTTTGGGTGTGTGTGCACTGCAGAAATACCGAAAAGTACTCAAAAATACTTCACAAGGTTGAATAACTTGTCTTGTAGTTAACACTTGAGCCAAGCGAAGTGATTGCAAATACTTGTAATTGAAGATGCCAATTGTTTGCCAGCAATTAGCGCTGTCAGCTCTTCTGTGTGTTGGTGTCTGCGTCTGTGTGTGTGTGTGTGTGTGTGTGTGTGTGTGTGTTGTTGTTGTTGTGCTGCTGTGCGTGTGCTTACGTATACTTAATTTTGTGTGGGTTTTGGCTACGCCCGCATCTCATTGATATGATGTGGCCTTTTAAAATTTAAATTCCACTTGTGACAACATCCGCTTAGGCAACAAACCTGCTTTGGCCACATATTTAGCATCTGCCTTTGGCTAATGAAAGCGTTCGGTGAGTCATTATTAAAGACAGTTCATTTTTAGCAAATATATCAAAATATTTTAATTTTTAACTTATTTGCGAAGGTCAGTTAAGTCAGACAAATTAATCAATTCTAAAATCCAGTGATTAATCAATATTAATTTAATTCATGTTAAGCACAGTTTATAGTGAACATTTTAATCTAAGATGTTTCAATGACATTAGCTAAAATAAGTACGAGGTAAAAGCTCAAAAGAAAACAATGCTATTGAAATCGTTCATGTTCTTTTCTCAAATAATAATATAAAGCTTTAAGCTTGTTGCCCGCTTGTACTTAATTCGAACAAAAGCTTGTATGTGCTTACATTTTAAACATTTGAACATTTGTACATGTGATGCTTGAATGTCATTCGCTGAAATAAGTACGAGGTATAAGCTCAGAATGAAACAATTGTACTGAAAGCTTTCATGTGCTTTTAAGGCTTTTTTCTCAACTAATGGAAGAAATTGTTTTTTCATAATGCGCGGTAACTGAATAAAGATAAAAGCTTATTGTGTATTGTAGGCCATAACGAACATTATAATGTAGAATCTTCTATGTTTTTAACAATTAAATATTGTTACAAAAAATAAGTTTTCGAGAGCCTATTTATCATTTAAGTTAATAATACTATTAAGGCTGAAGTATGATATTTTTCAAATACTGCATTGCAATTTAAATGCCAACCTTAACTTTACGCTTGTTTTCACAATTCCTCGGTGAAAAGCATCTCAATTTAAGAAGCGCTTCCATTAAAAGCAACTGACGAAAATGGATTATTGATATCAGCATTGTATGCTGTGTATTTTGGGCGGTATTTTTTTAAGCAAACAAGCTGCGGAAAACATTGGCGGGCAAATATTCCGCCTGTACGCTTAAATTCTTATAAACGGCTTTAAAAACTTTTTAATGGCACGCGCAAAGCGCGAGAAAGAAAAACAACGCTGGCAAAACTTAAAGTCGTTGCATGGTTTTTCTTTATTTTAGCTGCTTTTTTATTTTTATTTTTTTTCTTCCTTTTTTTGGTTTTCGCAGATCAACTCGATGCCTGGTTGTCTCGGGGCGGACAGCCAGGCATGCGAGATGATGGCTGCTGGGCGCGAGGGAAGCAAAATGCAAGGCGAGGCATTTATTAACATTGCTTGCTGGGGCGTGGCAGCTGCTGCCAAAAGGTGTTAAGTGGCAGCCACGACGGGCAAATGATGATGAGGCACAAGACTCATCCGCACAAGCTAAAGCGCTGAATATGAGCGTTGAAAAATCTGCGTAAATTTACAGCACGTCCTCATAAATTACAACAAATAAACGAAAGACAACAAAAACTGAATAAAATATATGTGTAAGATTGTTCTAGGTGAGGGCAAATGATCAACTAGCTAGATAGCCTGTAGTCGAGTAGAAGGTAGTTAAATGCATCTAATGTGAATTCAATTTAATGAATCAGTTTTGTGCCTATTCCTAAATTATTATTCAATTTTTAGTTTACATAATCTAAAGTAAACATATCTCTAAAGAACACCTACATATACCAAATATTATATTTATATATTTATAAAAGATTCTGAGCTCCATAGATATGTATACAATACAGAAGGATAGGCAAGTCAGATCGTATGCTGACTGTAAATATTATATCAATTATAGCTTTAAATCATCTCTTTATGCCCTTTTCTGACATCCTATATAACACAGTTTTTATTTTAGCTACAGGGTATATAAATTCCAGAGAAAATGTATATTTTTATGAATATTATGCGCGTTACCGATTCTCTTCAAGGAGGCCAGGCCCAAGCATTTTTTAATGGCTAATTAAATTGGTAAGCGAAGAGCGCAAAACGTGCGATGTGCGCTTAAAGTTGAAACCTCCAATTGAAAAAGTTGCGCTGGCCAACCAAATTGGAAATTCAATTGGAAAACAACTGGCAACACAAACGCAATGTAACACACGCGCGCATAAACATAGATACAAAGATACACGCTCTCAAAGATACACACACATACACACAGGCACACTCAACTGAACACTTGCCGCACAAACATTTGCGCAAAGTTGCGGACAACGCGCGTTGACTGTGGTCAGAAATTCCAAGTACGAGATCTACTTATAGAGCTGAGCAGAACTTAATCGATTATTTTGAGAATCACGGAGAAAGGCAGATATATTATAAATAAGTTATAATATCAATAAGATATATAAATAATATAAATAATTTATATCAATGAGATTTATTATACATAATGAAAATATTATATAATATTAAATAGATGCAATATAAATAGTATACATATATATCTTTTAAAAAGCAACTCAGCAGAAAAAATCGAAACACGAAAAGATGAAGAATAAGATCCTAGATTTAAATATATATACTTTTTTCCCTATAAGAACAATATAGATTAATGTTGACTGTAAAAAGTCAGTAAGAAGTGAATTCAATATAGATAAAATATTCTAGATAAGGTTTAGTACTATTATTTCTACAGTAAAGAGCTCCAATATTAATTAATGAACTAACATTGAGACATTAGAAATGTTGTAATGTAATTTACAATATCAGACGACAAATCTATGTAGTTGGCAATATATTTATAGTGTACATTATCTGGTATATATCTCAATCATATTAACATACATACATTTACTATCGTACTCAATTAATTTCTAAACAATCACGCGCTCATCTCTAGCTAAAAATGCATTTAAAGAAGCTCAGGAAAATTACGTCAGTGGCTTGGTACAAGTACACACACACACACTTGCACACAAGTACACACACATGTACTCATAGATAAGTGACTGCTTGGTTGCTTAAGAGATAGACCAATACATGCCTGGCTGGGCAAACAGTGCGTGTGTATGCGAGAGAGTGTGTGTGTGTGTGTGTGTGCTAAATATGGCAAAGTAGCAGCAACGCAGACAAAGTTGGCAATGTTGCCACAGTAAATCGCCAACCCTACCCCCCGCCACGACCCTCGTCTGCGCTCCTTTGCTGCTGCTTGCCAATGACGCAGTCGATTGAATCTGTTCCCCGAAAACCGTTTGAAAGAGTTGTGGAACGTCGCGACGCGTTGTGCGAAATGGGAATTGGGTCAAATGCCGCATTTTGGCCAGCAGCTGTGAGGCCGACAGCGCTGCCTCTAACGGTTAATGTTATTGCGCTTTTGCCATTTATCGCCGGCCATTGTTCTTGCCGAGATTTGCAGACGAGCCGAGCCGAGGCAAGGCAAGGCAAGGCGAGGCGTGTGGCATGTGGCAATGTTGGCTGCCTCGGAGGCAAAGTCAAATAGGCGCACACACAAAAGTCAAACGGCAGCCGCTTAAATTTACTTTACGACTCATTGTAAACGGCATAATGATGGAGTCTGCCCGGGGAGTGGGGCAGCGAAGCAGCCTGAGGCAGCCGGAGGCAGCAGCTGAAGAAGCTGCCAAGTTGGGGCTTGTGCAATCGACCAAGTTAGTGTGCGAGTGTGCGAGTGTGCGTGTGTGCGAGTGTGTTTTGCTGCTCAAATTGTGTTAGCAAATTGTGTGCATTATGATTAGGGAATTTTGAGAAATTGTTTACAAATTTATATTACATGTTTATTGTTTGGCTATTGATTGTTTTATACCAACAGAAAACTGACTTCAATCGAATTGCTTTATAAAGAGCTATTTGTGCTGTCGCAAACAAAATTAAATACGAGACACAAAGGCAGCTGTAATTGACAGCATTTTAATTGGAGCAAAGTGAATCTGAGAGACAAAAAGCCAAAAATATGCAAATTCAGAGTAAATTAAATTATTGCATAAGTTGACAAGGATACGCAAAATGGCTCTGATATATTTCATTTCCAAGTAAATATTCTTCAAGACATCAAATATAATAAATAATATAAATAAATAAATAATATAACCAATTTGTATTATTCACATTTGGAGCAGAGAGCTAATTAACATTAAATGTGCGAGCTAGAAAAGTTATTTTGGAAGTCAGATATAAAAACTCTTTAGCATGGATGCTTATTAAAATTTATCCTAGACTACCATGGATATATGTCCAGATACACATACATATGTGCACAATTTCCATATATTAAAGACAATAAAATGATGAAATTATAAATTTCAAAAGCGTTAAAACACAGTCTAATCAGATTAAGTTCAACAGCTGTATGTGCTGCTCTTACTATTCTCTATGGTCACTTTTTTTGGGCAAAAACTAAAAGAATATTGAAAAAAAACAGGAAGAGTAACAGCTAACAAACTGTCTGAAAAGTAACATAAAATTCTTCTGGAAAATGCAAAACAAAAGTAAAAAAATTCCTAAAATTAAAAGATCCATAAAAGCCAAGTGAGAATTTAACGTTTCCAACGTCCCGCACACTGTTTGATTATGTTATAAAATAAGGCATTTGTGTGTTTAAAATAAATTGTTGTTGTTGCTAAGCGTATTTATGGCGTTTATGTTTCATTTATAAACATATAAATTTGCCGCCGCTTGTGCTATTAAAATTTAATTAATTTTTACAACAATTTTTTGTCGGGACACACAGCGATTTAGTGGGCCAAGTCCTTAATTATGATTACGTTCGTTTAATAAACGTCATGATTATTAAAATTTGATGGCGCAAAGATGCTGCCGTCGCTTGCCACATTGTTGTTGTTGCAGCGGCCTGTTGTTGCTCTGGCTGCTTTTGTGGCTTCAACAACATTTTGTGACAGCCATTTGCCAGCGGCGCTGCAAGCTGATTGGAGCGCAGTTTGTCAGTCGTTTTTTTCGCTGTTGCTCTTCTCCTTTTTTTCGTGGACGCCGCTGCAATTAATGATGCTGCAGCAAACTGTAGCATGCCCCACAATGCCGCAGGCAGCTGGCCAAGACAATGTCACAGACTTTCGATCATTTTGCGCTGTGTCTTCGCCAATCGAATTGAGACATTTGCTAAATTTAATGTTTTAATTAGAGCAGGCGACTCGTAAGGCCTAAGCCATGGGGCGAAATTGGCTCAACAGCCAACTCGGGCGGCCATTTGCAAAATGAAGTTGCCGGAGAATTTATGAGCTACAGTCGGCATTTAAGCCAAGGTGCCGCACTAAGCTGCAGTTGCAGCAACGAGCTGCTATCTGTAACTTTTGTGTCTACGTGTGCTCGCAAAATTTTCGTTACCTTGGGCTGAGCTACATTAACCCCTGTGGAGCGTGGCTGGCATGTGTATGTGCGTAGAATATGTTGCAGCATGCAGCATGCAGTACACACACACAAAGTTCAGGCAAATCCCATTTGTCACGCCTGCAACGATTCGGCGCTCGACCCGTTCGGTTTGTCAGTCTCCATTGACCCGGCAACAAGCCACCTGTGTGTGTGAGTGTGTGTGTGGGGTTGGGGTCTCAAATGTGGCCTCGCACAATCTAATATAAATGCAAAAGCAAATGTCAAAAATTGTAAAATTAAAAATCACATCTGCCAAGCTGGCCCCAGACACACTCGACTGGCGACGACAACGATTCGCAACTATTTTTGCGCACACACACACACGTCGTATACGCAACATTTTTCCGAAACTGTCACATTACGTATACGCAATCAGTCGTCGTCTGGATATGCCACATATTGACGACAGAAAATTTACACAGCGCTCACTGCCAAAATTAACTGACTGAGCTAGTCAAACATGATCGCCAGCTGAGATATCCTGTAAATACTGAAAGTCAGTCTCATGGAGAAAGCGAAAGTTTTTGCGATTTTTGTCAGAGGTGCAGGTCAAATGTTATCGGAAGGTAAAGTATGAAGCTTAACTTTAAGTATTTATAGAGGAAGAAGATAAAAGACGAGAAGGAGAAGAAGAAGAGGTATAGAGAGTAGCTTTATATAGCCCGGAAGGCTGTAGGATTATCTTATGAATTTATTGACGAGATGGAATATGGTTAATTCCATTTCATTAACCGCAATCTGAACAACTTGTCGCAGCTTCTATTCATATTGACCCCTGGCACATTTTAAGGGGTATTAAATAGAAATACATCAAATATTTGCCGCGAGAGTTGTTTGAAGGGTTTTCGCACAATAAATGTCAGCAATGTTGATTGAACAGCTCGCGTGTTTGCATATCATATGGGCCAAGCACCTATGTACATAGGTGGACGTGTTGCCTCAACGCACACATAACACAATTTCACAAAAGTAGTCAACAATTTTTCAAAAAATGAAAACGTGTGCGCCAAACGAAAATTGCATCAATATGAAATGCTGTACATGAGAGAGAGAGAGAGATATATATGGATATATGTATTTTGGGAGCATATAAAGTCATATGCATCACATTGAAATATGGGACATATTTGGCCATATAACCAGTTCATGCACGAATTGGCTGTCAGCAAATGACGAACTTGGGATTGAGCAATCGGATTGGGGATTGGGATTGGAATTGAGATTGGAATTCCGCATGGCCAAAGTTCAGGCCCAGTGCGAAGCGTTTTTTTTTTAGCAAGAATTTTTAAGTTTCATTTGAAAAACAGAAAAATTGCTCGCAATTTCGCATGAAAATTGCAATGCGTAAAAGTTTTCATTTATATGCCATGTTGCATTTGGTTTTTAATTTACACACACGCACGTGAGTGCGGGCTCGTGTGTGTGCGTGTCTCTCTTTAGCGTCTGTCTGCAAAATGAATTTTATTTTAATTTATGCGCAGACATCAGCAGACACAGGCAGCCAAACTAAGGCACAGGTCGCCGTGGGGGTTAGGAACCCAACACAATATTCACACACAGACTCATTGACACACACTCACGCACACACTTACGCACACACTCACGCACACACTCACGCACACGCACGCATCTGCCTGAAAACGGAAACGGAAATATGCGCAATTTTTCAACAAGACAATGTCTGACAGTCTGGGAAAAGGGGAGCTCAACAAAAAACAAAAATAAAAAAAAATAAATAGAATAATAAAACAAAAATGCAAAATGATAAACCGAAAAGTTTTCCTGCCGTTTTGCTCAACTTTCTGCAGTTGCACAAAATTATTTAAGTTTCGGCGATTGTTTGAGTTTTCAGTTTGCTTTGTTTCAAGTGCGTTTTTTCGTTTTGAATATGAATTCTTTTTAGCTCTTTACAAAAATTTTCAATATAATTATAAAAGTGCGTGCCAAATGGATAGATAA